TTCCTTCCTTCCTTCCTTCCTTCCTTCCTTCCTTCCTTCCTTCCTTCCTTCCTTCTTTTTTTCTTCCTACTATTTATACTATTTATTCAGATTCTGTGTCTTTCATTACTTTAGATTTTTGAGACAGTGAAAAACTAAACAAAATATTCAGGTCTCCACAGCTCTTAAATTCTAGTTAAGAGGATGAACATAAAATAGATAAAGAGTAAATATTTACAGGTCCACGATCTTTTATCTGCAATTCTGAAATTCAAAAAGCTCTTCAAGCTGAAAGGTATTTCCTAACTGAGTTGGCAGCAAAACCTGACCTGACTTGAACTTCTCTGGCAGCAGAACATGACCTGGAGAAAGGTGAAGCTATTTGTAGTCTTTGTTTATCACTCTCCTTATGAATCTTCATGTACTGCATTGAAGAAACACTAATGTTTGAGTACAGGGAGCTGTCACAGACCCTGATAGAAATACGCCATAAAGCCTACATAAAAATTATTTTAAAAAATTGGATTCTGAAACACAACTGGCTCCAAGGGTTTTGGGCTAAGGGTTGCAGACTTGTAATATGGGTTGCTAAGTCCTATGAAGAAAAATTAAATCAGGTAAGAAAATAGATAAGGGAAATGCTATATGTTTTTGTATACATAACATATAATATATATCCTAAACATTAATGACCGTTATGGTTCTCAGCAAGTCTTCAACTCTAGGAGCAGTCACTAATGTGGGGATGAGGAAATGTAATTACTGGTAGAAGATAAAGGGACTCTTGCAAACAAATCATTAAAAAAGAACTTAATTTTAAAACTTCTAATTAATTCCCACCAACTAATTCATTAAACACAATGGAAAATATTATTAAAATTATGGGCTGATGTAGTAGGACATTAATGCTCCAGATGCATGTAAAGTTCAAGGTAATGGATTTAAATTATATCATACAATAAGGACATAAATAAATGTTTAGATAAATGATGGCTAAGTGGATCAGTTAGTGACATGGAATAGAGAGTATGAGGAGCAAAGGAATATGAATTATCCCTCTATGTGTGTGGTCCAACCTAAGCAAATTTGTAGTCTTCTTTTTACACGAAGAAATGGTATATAGAAATCTTCTATGCAATGTTAGTTGAGATATCAGTTTTGCCAACTTTAAATTTTGTGGCACTATTTATATGTAAGACTTTTCTCACGTTATACTGCATTCAATATAGTTTTCACCTGCTAGGAAATATTATTACTAAACTGTTAGCAGGATATTTAAAAATACAAGTGGCTTCTGAATCCATTGACTTTCCTTATTATTTTAATTATATAATTTGTAACACCATTTAATGTATGTTGAATTGTGTCATAAGCCCAGGATAAATGTAGTGAATATCAAAGGATGAATATTTATCTTGTCATATGTTGGACTTTAGCTTTTGAGTGATTTCTGGTTTTTTTTATCTTTACAATTTTTAAATGAAAATTATATCTGGCAAAGGATCATGCATGGAGATCTGAGAATGTTGAGTGAAAATCTTCATCCTCCCTTTTGGCATATGATCACACAATCTCTGCTTGGATGTTTGAAGTAATACTCAACCACCTCTAGTTCTTTTTATCACTCTATTTTTGCTTCATATAGAGTAAAATATTATATGAGCAAAACTGCCTGGTTGTGTTTTTGAAGTTTCAGAGATTTGTCTATTCTTCCAGTCTTTGATTTATACTATTGTATGCCACTCTCATCTTTTCTTTTCCAAGTTGTCGCAAAAGTTAGTTTTTGCAATTTTTCTTCCCAGTTCAGGGTTTCTAAACCAACTGATCTTCCGTAGACATTCTTATTTTGTGAATTTGTTTGGAGGTTCTAGGAGGGGAGTGCAGCTACTTGTATATCTTTGACCGAAGACTGGTCATCTCCTCTGGGGGAAGGTCCTCTTTGACCCAGAGTGCTACTTCGCAGCTTTGGGAAGGACACATGTGGATCCGTGATGGAGGAGGGGGACACCTGCCTAGCCAGCCAGATCAGTCGAATAAAATCAACCCTGGCCATCAATGGGGTGACAGATATCGCAGCCAGATCACCCTCACATCAGACACTCTTATTTTGTATTGTCCATTTAAAAATGTGACACCCAGATACAGTCACAATAACTAGCAGCGTTTTTATCAATCTAGAATGTAATGACACTAAAAGTTTCCTAAATCCAGGATGATACAGTTATTGTGCAACCTTTCATTTATTTCCTTATTTATTTATTTATTTATTTTTACTCAGTGCTGCTGTCTTTGTCACTTTTCTGGCACCCCACGTTAGCTATTCTGAATCTTAAATTTTTTCGTGCTGTCCTACAGATTCATGTTTGGTTCTATGAGTGCTATGCAGAAATCATATTATTCTTTACTAGTAAGATGGTAGGTTGATGAGAAGGCTACATACAGAAATAGTTCAAGATAATTGGAAAAACTCTGATTACAATAATTGGAATTTTAAAAGCAGAATTCTCATTCTGTTTTAAATTTTGAGGTGGTAACCCAATTGTTAACCCTACTGGTAACAAGAATCTCATTACTTTGTGACCTACATTAATTGATTTTAGAAAATGTCAGTCAGGATTCCTGTTTAAGATACTGAGCCCTGAATGAACAAATAATAATTTCAAGTAGTGTTGATGTATATAAACTTTTCTGAGAAAAAAATACAATGTCTTGGTAATTGTTTTCTAGAATTGACCATAAGGATGTTAGAGATTCTTTGAAAAAGCAAGAACTGTGGTTAGAAGAGTGAGTTACAGTATTTATTACAAATCTTCAATGCAGACCTTCAGCTTATGAGGTTAGGAGAGTGATTTATAATGTTGACTATAGGTCAGATTGTCTTTGAGAAAGCTGTGCTTTCAACACCAGAGGATTAAAAGGAAAAACTGAAAGAAAAAACACTATATTAAAAACAAGCCCTCCTCCCAGCTCCTATTCTCAACCCCCACTCTCCCCAATATCCTGCTTTATAAACCTGGGCAAAATTGATGCTGGTGACGGATCGTCTTTGCCTTCCTGTGTCGACTTCCTTCCCTACTGTTTTGCTTTTCCCCAGCCTCTCTGTCTGTGCTCATTACATTTAGTCACTCTGGTTCTATACAATTATTAAACTGGTTGGTTCTTGTTTTGTTGTGTCCTCGGAAGGAAATTCCTGGCTACAGCTAAAGACAATGGAGGGAATTTCACTTTCCTGGTTTTAACACCATATTGCTAAGGGAGTTATTACACTGTCATGAAAAAATTGGTTGGTTATCAGATTTCTAAAACTGCACCCATGGATATAACCATTATGAAATATCAATAAAGGCAAGAATCCAAGAAACTTCCCAGAGGGAATTATGTTTTCGAGATAGTAAACTTCTAAATGTATTATGTATGACCCTTTAAAATGTTGTAACTTATTTCCTGATTATAGAGAGCAAAGTGGCCAAAAACACAAGTAAAAAATATAGGAAATAATAGTTTTGAAAACCTGCCATATCAGTATGCACACTAGATGTGGCAATATGTATACTGCATATTTGTCATAAATTAATTTGACATTTATTTTAGATTTAAGTGGTCTTACTTTTTATTCCATCTTCTCTCTAGAGTTTTCAAATTGGCAAAAACTTTCTTAATTGCACCTCTAACATAAATAACATAGAACATAGAAATTCTAATTCATCTGATATCTTAATAGAACCAAATTACCAACATAAATGTGTGATATTATTTTCTGTAAAGATTACTCTCTTGAGAAAAACTTACTGACAATGATAAACTGCCTTGATTTTACTTTTATAGTGGGAAATATAACCAGAAAGACCATGGAGTCAAGTCCTTAATAAATGTAAAATATTTCTTGGAGGAATCTAATTATTGACAAATTACAAGAGTCTTCAAATGTGCCCCAGTGCACATATAGACTGTAGTTCAGTGAACATGCCTAATGACTTTGTAAACTAAAAGAGCAAAAGGTGAGTGGTTTATCATTGTCAACAACTCTAGCTGAATGAACTTTGAGTCACCTTGAATGTATATATGTTTTTCATTATAATAATTTGCTTTTTAGAAAGCATATCTATGTACATGTGAAATAGACTGTCTTTTACAGAGAGATAACCAAATATTTAAGTGTAGGCTGGTGCAAAATTGAAGTGTGGACTCTGGATGGTAGAGGGCATTATAGGAAAGGCCAGTTACCAGAGAGCTGAAGTAGCATTTGGAATTATTGTTGAATGTCCCTCTAACAAGTTTTATAGTTTCTGTGGTTTCTCTGGGTAATAGACTAAAAGTTTTAAATTTAGACCAGGGACAGAAAATCTGTGGCAATTCAAACGTGGGCTAAATTTCACTTAATCTTTGCTTTACCTATGAGAAATTAACTCATTAAAAACACCGACTAGGATTAGAATGGAAATGTGTATTTTCCAATCAGACTAAAAAGGGTATAGCAAAGTGAATCTTTCCAGTTAGTCACTATAAGTCTTCCCCAGTCTTTTAATCTAATTAAAATTATTCACTTGGAACACTACACATTCTCTCGTCCTAGTTCTAAAAACATCACACCTCTTTCTTAAAAGCAAAAACAAGCCTAGCTGGTGTGGCTCAGTGTTCGAGTGTCTACTCATGAATCAGGAAGTCATGGTTGGATTCCCGATTAGGGTACATGCCTGGGTTGGGGGTTCCATCCCTGGTAGGGGGCATGCAGGAGGCAGCTGATCAATGTTTCTTTCTCATTGTTGTTTCTTTCTCTCAATCCTCTCTCTTCTTCTCTGAAATCAATAAAAATACATTTTCTAAAAAAGCAACACACATTCACATGGACAGTATGGGAAGATTAAGAAGTAGGATCACTGGATCCTAACCTTATGGAGAAATGATCACTTAAAAAAAAGAAAGCAAACAAAAACAAATCTTCTATAATTTTGATATTTGCTTATGCCAGTTTATTGTACTGATTTCAGTTATTCCTAACAAATTCTCTATTTAAATTGGCTATGCTCCTTTCCATCGCTGACTTAGATCTCAGTTTGGGTGGCATGGCATTAAAGCTTGGTAAGAGCAAGTGGTGGAATTGGTGGTGGGCACTGGTGGTGGGAGAGGGAGGCTCAGATGTGGGTTAGCCAGAAATTAATATGGTCAAAGTAAACGCTTTAACATTTATTTCCTAAACCTCCCCTCTTCCTAGTTGTTTCCCCACCCTGGGAAAGGGTCAGTTGTGAGACCAAGTTCAAACAAGGACAAGACAATATAGTCCTGAAGTGGAAAACAATGGAAGAGCTCACAGGACTAGTGTGGGGAGCTGTCCAGGGTTACGGCAAAGAGCAGAATCAGCCTGTCAGAGACAGAGCTGGATCCTTCAAACATTTCTTTAGGAAACAGGGGGAAAAGAGGACAGGCCTAATCCCAATAATTTTCAGCTTGGATAATGAAGTGGGAACCATGGAGCGTTTGGACTGAAAGGAAAGGAATGTGGCTTCCCTTGGAGTTGGAAGAATGTACAATAACTTCAAACATTAGAAAGACTTTCAATGCTGGTCTACGGTTAGTACTTCTTGCACGTCTCACTGCAACTCAGAAGTCTACCAGAGAATTATTATGGGTGCTGAATTCTGAAATTCTTCCTTGAGATAAAAGCCAAGATGCCGATTTTTATTAAAAGGGTTATAGTAGATAAATATTATGAGATTTTCCTCCAAATATCTGAATACTTCTTAAGGTAGCAAGAGATCACTAAGAGAATGGTTTTAAACTCATTACAAGTTAAATTACACCCACCAAGTGTTATGTCCCTGAGCAATGCTGGGCTGAGTGCTGTGGGCTGTGTGTGGGTGGTTCAATTGCAAATCCATGCAGAATACAATCAATGTCAAAATGGGCTTGATTCAAAAGATGAGTGTTATGGAAGTTCAGAAAAGAGGAAGAACTACATGGACTTGAGTAACCAAGGGGCCTGCATGTTAGAAATGTCACTAGGGTATCACTAGGCATTATTAGAGCATTCAGAGAGAAGAGACAGGGATGTTTGTATGTTCCTGATGGCAAGGAAGTTATGTTAAGGGAGATGATAAAGAACTTTGGCTAAAACAGGGATAAAAATTATATAGGACTTTGAAAGTCAGTCTGAGGAGTATAAATTTTATGCTGAGGGTGATGGTAAACTGCTGATTTAAGGACTGATGTTTATAGTATTGTATCTTGTTGAGGGTTTTAGGGAGATTATTTGTCCAGCACAAATACAGTTTGGTTTGGAGATTAGCAAAACTGGAGTTAGGGAAGACATTGAGGAGAAATGCAGGTGGCTGACCAAGGCCTAGGGAAGGTAAGAAGGGTGAGAGGAGGAGTGAGGTGGCGCTCTCTCCTGCTGCAGCAGGTAAGAAAAGTGAAGACGGGCCCACAGCTAAGGACTATCATGGCTGTGGGAAATGACAATCACAGTGCTCCAACCCGAGGCAAGAAACCAACTTTATGCCTTTTGGAGAAAGAGATTGAGTGGGTCTACATGACACGACTAGTTTCAATACCACGGCTATGGGTGCTAAGTGGCTGCACCAATACGCATTCTGGAAAGGTTTTTCTAAGAAATTAACTCCATGGAATACTGAGGCCTGTGGCCTCTCTGTTGGTTCTCGTCTATCTGACATAGTTTTGCCTGTCGAAATGAGGCATGTCAGTGTGGTATTCAGCACTTTGGATGAAAGCACTTGGAGCAGGAAGCCAACTCTATGGCCAGTGCTTCCTGGGTACATGGATCTCAGGGGCCTCAGATGGCTGCTACACCTTAATTCCTGCAAACTCTCAGCTCCTTGAAGTTCTTCAAAAGGAAATCTCAAAACCCTAGGAGACAGTTCAAGCAATTGCTCAGCCTACTGGTCCACTCCTCTTGAGCCTAAACTGAATTACCATGTTATTATTTATCTTCCAAATGTTTATTAACAGGCTATTTTGTATCAGGTTTGCCTGATATAATGAGGAAGCCAAATAACCAGACGGCAATTGAATAAAGCCTCAAACATACCCTGATAGGTACATTATAATTTAGAGCTCTGTAGTCAGACTATTTTTGCCCTCTAGCTCTGCTTTCTTAATGGCCGTGTGACACTGGGCAAGTGACTTAACATCTCTGTGTCTCAGTTCTGCCATCTGTAAATAAAAATAATAAAAGCACCTAATTTATAGCAGTATCTTGAAAGGTAATTGAGGTGATATAAGAAAGCTATTTAGAACAATACCTGGCACAAAAGAAATGCTCAATAAATATCAGCCAGTATATTTCAGCCTCGAGGAAGGGTGGGGTACAATGAAACAGCCTAGGGTCAGCTGATTGTAGTGAGTACATATGAGAGATTGATAGCCAGAGTCTACTTCGATGGATCATAATCTGTCCTGATTGGGCACTATGTCCATCTTGATTGATTGGTTACTGTACTCTATGGGTTGTTTATTATTTTTATATTATCTCATAATCTAACTCATTGCTCCTGAAAGATTATTTACATTAGAATAAGTGGAATTCTTACTAAAAATGCAGTTTCTTGGGCCCTGGCCCAGAGAATTTGATCCCGTTAATATGAAGTGAACCCAGAAATATTTTTACAAGCCCTGCAGGTCTGCCCTCTCAGACACTAAGGAGCAGTGGTTCTCAACCTTCCTAATGCCGTGACCCTTTAATACAGTTCCTCATGTTGTGGTGACCCCCAACCATAAAATTATTTTCATTGCTACTTCATAACTGTAATTTTGCTACTGTTATGAATCGTAATGTAAATGTCTGATATGCAGGATGTATTTTCATTGTTCGCGACCCACAGGTTGAGAACCGCTGCTCAGGGAGATCACCAGGAGGAAGTAACATTGGAACCAAGACCTAAAACTCTAGCCCAGCGGTTCCCAACCTGTGGGTCGCGACCCCTTTGGGGGTCAAACGACCCTTTCACAGGGGTCGCCTAAGACCATCCTGCATATCAGATATTTACATTACGATTCATAACTGTAGCAGCATTACAGTTATGAAGTAGCAACGAAAATAATTTTATGGTTGGGTCACAACATGAGAAACTGTATTTAAAGGGCCAGAAGGTTGAGAACCACTGCCTGCAGCCGTGGGCAAACTACGGCCCGCGGGCCGGATGCGGCCCGTTTGAAATGAATAAAACTATTGAAAACAAAGACCGTACCCTTTTATGTAATGATGTTTACTTTGAATTTATATTAGTTCACACAAACACTCCATCCATGCTTTTGTTCCGGCCCTCCGGTCCAGTTTAAGAACCCATTGTGGCCCTCGAGTCAAAAAGTTTGCCCACCCCTGGTAGCCCCTTGAAGGGGGAAGGTGGGAGAGCAGGATAAATAAGGAGAGCATTCTTCTCAGAAGGAGCAGTGTGGGCGAGCTCAGAAGTTAAGGGAGGGAGGTTCAGAATGGAGTATTGAGGTCAGGGATGGAAGGCAGTGAGCACTGGCAAAGGCTCAGATCATAATGGTGTTGTAAGCCATGGTTTTTAAATTTTATCTGCAACACAATGCGTGGGAAACCATTCAGAATATGGTAAGGATGGGTGACAGGATCAGATGCACGCACTAGAAGAGCTCTGGTTTTACATAAAGGGAAGAAGGACAGGCAAGTCAGAGGCAGGAGGCCAGCCAGTGGGTTCTGTGGTGAGAACTGCTTGCTTGGTGGCCTGTTAGCTGTCCTCACTCTTGCACTTGGCACTCTTCCTGGCTCCTTCCCTCACTACTTAACATCTGGAACTCTCTTGGCTCAGTCACTCAGGCCTATTGTCTTTCTTCACCTCAGGTTTGGTCTCCCCGGCTCCAGTTTCTGGGAAGACAAGAATAGCAACCATGCTCAGGCCTCAGCTCTTGACCACACGGGACCTGAGAGAGGAGGACATGGTGGAGGTGACTGGAATGTAAGACTCTAACTGCCTTGTCTATCTCTCTGTGGCTACAAAAGTGGCAGCAAAGATAGCACTAGTGTCTGAGGGAGCAGTATACAGTAACTGCTCGGTAAACATTTGCCAAAAGAGTGAGAATTCTGTCTATAAATACCAGAAGGTAATTCTAACTTCTACGGATACTATGGAATGAGCTTTGATGACCCACCTTGTCACTGTTGATTGGGAGTCATCTTAATTCATCCTTTTGATCATACTTTCTTTTCTTTTTCCCGCCTAATTCTTTGCATCCTTTCTAGCAGGAAAGGGGAATATCATCTTTTTATTAGTTAGTCCACCTCAAAATATTGCATTTTAGCTGTACAAACTGTCCTGTTGTTGCTTCTTTGGCTTATTAGGAATTACTTTGCCAAAGCAGAGAAAGTACAAATCCTAGAAACCTGTTACTCAGTAAACTCACTCCGTAAACCCATCCAGAGTCATTTTCCACAATGGGATTGAAAGAGGAAGAACAGGCAGGAATAAACTGTAGCACTTATCAGCTTACCCTTCACATCTCCCTCTTCTGACAGCACTGTGGTGCAGGATCCCAGGAGGGCAAGAAGTGGAGAAAGGAGGTTAAATAAACATCTAAAACTCTTAAAATTTTCCATCTTTGAAAATCCTGAAATTAGGCCCCAGAAAACCATTTATTCAATTACTAAAACAGAGTTATAGATAATGCTCTTTCCTCCACTAGCTGACTGGATGTTTGTTAAAACTGAGTTGTACCCATTGATAATAAGGATTAGCAAGGGTTTTCTATTAAGTGCCAACTGTGTTTTTAATTGTTTAAATGCAAGAAAAATAGAACTTACTGATAAACTGCACAGAATTTGAAACAAAGTGCCCCTTTTACTTCTGTAGGAATGTGGATGCTAACCAAATGTGTCCGCATGGTTTCAATTAAGCAGAGGAATGTTAAATGTAAAGCTAAATTGATGAAAATAACTTTCTGACAAACCAATAAATTGGAGCCTAGAACTCACTGCCCATACTGTATGGCAGCCAGAGAAACATTGCTAGATCATCAATTTTTACTTCATTTTTTGAGTTAGTTTATACTTGAAGAGAAAAAAAGGAATGCTAGGAAAGTAATTTAAATTCTTCCCAGCTATAAACAGAGAATATGCACATTGGATGTGGACCTTATTCTTCACTGTATGCAATTCAACTGATTGTTTATTCTTTTAGCAATTTCCTCGGTGAAATTTTTGGAAACTTAAGACAATTTTCAGGGAACTCTCATGTCAACATTTTGGCAAATGATCTGGCAAAATGCTAGTCATTGGACTATTTTTCTAAGCTCCTCAGACTACCCCATGGCAATCCTTATTCTTTAAAAATGATGTTTTAATTTCCTTTCCCTCAATTTTTTCAGTCTTCAAGTTGCTGTCATATTGATATGACAATGTACTAGAAAAATTATGAGTTTGGGGAAAATTCTAAAATTTCTTGCTGAAAACAGAGGATAAAATTACATAGTCAGAAATCTAACTCTGCACATTTCTGCTTATGTCAGAAATTTCCATTTCTAATAGAAATGTACTTCTGAGTAGGTTTTATTTTTTACTTTGGGGGAAATGCCTGGAAATAAACCTTTTTATAAAAAAATATATTCTATTGATTTTTTACAGAGAGAAAGAGGGAGGAACAGAGAGTTAGAAACATCGATGGGAGAGAAACATCGATCAGGTGCCTCCTGCACACCTCCTACTGGGGATGTGCCCGCAACCAAGGTACCTGCCCTTGATTGGAATCGAACCTTGGACCCTTCAGTCCGCAGGCTGATGCTCTATCCACTGAGCCAAACCAGTTAGGGCTGGAAATAAACCTTTTAAACAAGCAAATAAAAAACTGGAAGCTGAGGACCTACTCTTTACCTGTGTTCTACATGTGACACAAAATGGGCATCCCTTGGTGAAACATTGCCCAGGAACCTGGCCCCCACCTCTTGGTCCCCGCTGTCCTAGAGGTTCAGATGTCTCATGTGATTCTCTTGCTTAGAAAGAGAGGCCACCCTACATTTGGAACTGGTGCCAAATGTAGGGTGGCCTCTCTTGGTTTTCATGGCCCTGTCCCAAACTCAGAGTCCCAGGTGGACCCTCTGTTCTAATTTGATGCATTTCCAGCCAATGACCATGCAAAACCTATTTAGGCTGTAATTTTAACATTGGCGAAGAATCAGTTTTATTTGAATTAGACGGTCACTCAACATATTTTGGTTGGTGACCATTCAACAAATGTTCTTATTTTGTAAAAATTATTTTTAGGGGCAATAATATAAAACTTACTTTTGTGTTTTTAGATAAAGTTTTTAAACCTTTTAAAATGTCTTTCAAGTTAACATAAATTTTAAAACAAGACATAATTAAATATAGTACAAATTTAATGTGACACTATTTCAAAATTTTATTACATATTTAGATCGCATCCAGAGGGGAGGATAATCTTGTTTGAGAGCAGGCAACACAGTTTTTTCTAAATTTATCCTTATTTGTTTCTAATGGTTCTGACTTCATACAAATGATCCATTAATATGGCTACTATAGTTCCCATTAGCTGCTGTATTGAAAATGTGTGGTGGTGCTCCGTTGATCAATCAAGTACTAATAGCATTTATATGTAAGAATAACTTTCCCTTCAAGCCTTGTGTCATCCTTGTGACCTCCTGGTTCATAGGTCAACGCTCAACCACAGAGTCATGCTGCCTGGGCATAAATCTACCATGCTCTTAATGCATATTTTATTGAGCCTCCTTAGATTTTTTTTCGCACCATTTGGTATTTGTCTTACATAAATATTATAGTGATAATAGGTATATCTATAAACCCAAAGATAGTTCTGATCACCAATGTTTGAAAGGTTTTGTGTAAACATTTGTGTATATTTCTCTTTCTATCTCCCTCTCTATCTCTATATCTCTATCTCTATATATCTCCATACAAATACTTACCTAAATAGTATATAAAGTCTGATGTAATATATAAAGACCAGAGGTCCGGTACACGGATTCGTGTACTGGTGGGGTCCCTCAGCCTGGCATGTGGAGATGGGGCCAAAACCAGCTCTCTGACATCCCCTGAGAGGTCCCAGATTGCGAGAGGGCGGTTCTTGGGTGATGCACCCTGGAATCAGGCTCCCTGCTCTCTGGTTCTGGGTGCGTCAGCTGAGAACTGCAGTTGTCAAGTCACAGCAGCTCAGAAGCTCCTGTGTTGAGCATCTGCCCCCTGGTGATCAGTGCGTGTCATAGCTACTGGTCGGAGCTTCTGCCCCCTGGTGGTCATTGTGCATCATAGCTACTGGTTGGACGATCGGACGGTAGCTTGGGCATATATATATGTGTGTATATATATATACACACACACACACACATATATACATATATATACACATATATACATATACACACACACACATAATAAAGAAATGCTAAATCTGAATTTGAAACTTAAGGTAATTTTGTTCAGTTAGTAGCACCAGAGAAACATTTGAAAATATTATAATAGGTTAAAAAATGGGAGAGGGATTACAATGGAATGGCAGTTCCAGAGAAGTAGTGAGAAGTCAATAGGGTCTTTGGGACAGTCTTTAGCAAATGCTTTTGCATATAATGACTTCTTTTTTCCTTGGGGCTATAACAGGGGCATTTTGTTAATAGAGCAATTTATGCTAAATCCCGTACTGAGCCCAAGAAAACTGGCCTTTTGCTTTCATGTTATATTTCTCTCATCCTTCGGAGGCCAAGGTTTGAAAAATCTCTAAAAGCAGGATTCAATAAATACACAAGCTTGCGAGGAATATTTAGCCACTTGGTCTTGTGACTGTGGCAAATCACTCACTTGAGCAGAACCCTAGAGGGCTTTTATTTCCCATTATGGGAAATACAATCTGGGTGAGATGAAGAATGTTCTTTAAAGGGAACTGTTTGTGGGTCACTTCAAAGTTACCCATGCTTACCTAGGGCTCTCTCCTTGAGGAAACCTTGTTAGCATCAGCATCCATGTTTCTGTTTTTAGTTTAGAATGTGCATTTTTCCTTCCCCTTCCCCCCTCCCTTCCTGTTTTTCTGGTAGCTTTGCAGACTCAAAGGGCCTCTCTCAGGACTCAGTGTAGAGGCCTGGGATGCGATGCCAAACAACCAGCTGTGATTTAGAACAACCGAGCCCCCTTGGATGTACTTTTCTGCTTCACCAGCAGTTTGATAACCAAGGACCATAAAGTTTGAATGTTGATTCCAATTCCCTGTAGACTATCTGGTTCACAACTTACTTTTTACAGGATTTTATAGAGAACAACACTGGCTCCTGCCTTTTAAAAGAGTAATTTCTGGTTTTTTAGAAATATTGAATCATGATATTTTCAAAATGTTGAGAAACTTTGATGGAGGAAAATATGAAATTGATAGTATTCTTATGTATAAATTTCTTTTTAGAATGGCCTTTCTTTACTTATTGCTTACAGTAACAAATAATCAACCCAAATAAATTATTTGGATGTACGTATCCATTACACAAAACCTGTTTAAGGACTCTGCGTTCTTGTGATGTAGAGTGAGAATATCTTTCCTCATGCAAAAAATGGGTTTTATTTTTATTTTAAAAAATGTAACAAATATCCCCTGGGAATTGGCTACATGTCTTGTACTGTGCGTATGTTCTGACCCAAAAGGCCCAAGTTCGGGTCTCCAACAGCATCCTACAAGCCGAACAGTCCCTTAAAGGGAAGCTGCCTGACTCCCCCTGGGTAGAAGTCCTGTCTTCTTGGCTCCGACTTATTCAACACACCCTACTATTCCTCAACGAGACCCACACCCTGCCCAATGTCTCCCACTGCTTTCTATGCGCCTCTCTCCGAAGGTCTTTGCTGGCTGCCGTCCACTCACGACTTCTCCAAGAACCCAAGGGAAAGGTGAATGTCAGCCTCCCATGGCTGGCATTTCCCTTTGGGAACCTGAAACTCCAGAGCCCACCCTGCCTCCACGGATATGCTACCAGACCAGTAATCCGGTAACCGGAGGGCGAGTCACGTGGAACTGCACCCAGAACTACACTGCATCCAGCCTCACCAAGGCCAGCCCGGGTACCTTCTTTTGGTGCAATGGCACCTTAAGTAACTGCGTGAACTTCTCTGACCCCGGGCCTTGCTTCGTGGTCACAGTAGTTCCCCAATTAACCTTGTATGGAGAGTCGGAGCTCGCCTGGTTGCTCCCTCCATCCCACCCCGGACCCGCCAGGCCGCCTTCCTCCCTGTCATGTTAGGGGTGAGTATCGCTGCCTCGGTAGGCCTCACTGGGGGGCCCTCGGGAACAGTCTGGTCACTGCTCAGTACTTTAGTGACAAGCTCCAGTTAGCCCTGGAGTCTTCTACCGCCTCTTTTAGCCTCCCTACAGCGGCAAATGACATCAGTAGCCCAAGTAGCCCTGCAGAACCAGCTCGTCTCAGACCTTCTGACTGCAGAAAAAGGAGGAACTGGCATATTCCTTCAGGAAGAATGCTGCTACTACATCAACGAGTCCGGAGTAGCGGAGCAAAATGTACAGACCCTGACTAAGCTGAGTGAAGAACTACATGCAGGACACTTCCAGGACAGCTCTCCTTCCGGCGGGTTCCAAAACCCCTAGCTACCTGGGTCCTACCCATGGTAGGGCCCCTGATTCTCATCTGTGTCTTCTTTCTCCTAGCCCCCTGCCTCCTCAAGTTCATCTGCTCCCCGGATCGCAGAGATGTCATGGGTGACTGTGGATCAGCTCCTGCTCCATCCCTATGCTCGGCTGCCCTCCGATCTGCCTCTGCCTAACCCTGGCCTTTAAATGCCCCCCTTGTCGCCCTTAGCCAGCTGGAAGCAGTCAGAACGAGTTGCCGTTCCTTATCACCAAAAGGCCGGGATGTTAGGTCGGAGAGAGCCCAGGATCGGATACATGCAGACATGTGACGAGACAATGGACTCTACCTGGCATTTCTAACAGATCAGTGTGCCAGACACAGATACAGGCTTCTCCCTGAATCCACAACGACTCCCACACAGATACTGACTCATTCCTGAATACCTGGCTGACCCCCTGCAGCTGAAACTTCCTCAACTGAATACCTCAGCTCATGTCCCCGCCCCTCACCCAACCGCAGTATAAAAAAAGCGCCCTCCTCCCTGTTGGTGTGAATCCACGTGCCCTGTCCTTGGGGGTACGTGGGTCTCCCGGGGACGCAGAATAAACTTTCCTTCCTTCCTTTTTTTTCTGATTCACTCGACTCTTTATTTCTTATGCCGCCTCCTGAGCCATCTAACCTAACAGCTACATGTCTTGTACTGTGCGAAATGCCGGAGGGGAGAGAACACAGTTCCTGTTGTCACAAAGCCCCTGGTCTAGAATAGCTCTCTCCACGGAAAGGCACGGAACTACGGTTTACTGTGCTTATTGGGATTGTATCAACTATGTAACAAAAAAGACAGTAATTTTCAAAGTATGTTTTTAGTGCAATTATTGCTCAAACTGCAGACCATTACTAAGGCAATACTGCAAGAAATGTTTTGCAAGTCAACTAGGTTTGGAAAATACATGATCAGGCAAAGTCCTCCGGGAGGAGGGATGGTGTGCAGCCCTCAAACTTACTTGGGATTAGGACTTGTTTCCTTCATCACCTCCAGGGGAAGGGTCCTGTGCAACACAATTTTTTTAAAAAATATATTTTTATTGATTTCAGAGAGGGAGGAAGAGGGCGAGAGAGAGAAACATCAATGATGAGAGAGAATCATTGATTAGCTGCCTCCTGCATGCCCCACACTGGGGATGGAGCCCACAACTCTGGTATGTGCCCTGACTGGTAATCGAACCGTGACCTCCTGGTTCATAGGTCGATGCTCAACCACTGAGCCACACCAGTCGGGCTTGCAACACAATTTTAAACAAGTACTATATTAACTTTTAATAATTTTAAACTTTATTTGGAGAAGGCTTGCTGGGCTACAAAGTTCCAAGGTGACGGTTCTCAGGGGACTGAAAGATCCCATGTGACAGTTTGCCTTCCCTCTTGGGGAGCCCCTGGAGCCTGTAAACACTGTACCTGCCATGCTAGGGCTCGGAAAATCCCAGCTCCTGTCCTGCCTTCTTTCTTCAGCCTTCCCACAGTCCTCTGCTGAGGAGAGAGAATTGTGGAGGGAGTAGTGAGGGAGTGGAGGAGGAGTAGCAGGTGCGCTGACCCTATGGCAAATCTCTTGGCTTGATTTGAAGAGCAACTGGCGTCCCCACCATGAATCTCCTGGGAGATAGCTCAGCGTCATGGCACTTTCATAAACCTGAGCATTTGTTTTACCAAATGAAACGTTTCCTTGAGGCTTTGTGGGTACACGGGGATGGCTGAAGCAACTGTGAGGGAAGTGGCCAAGACATTCCAGGCACCAGCCCAGGCCTCTTGGATGTCCCCTGGACACAGGTGCCCATTTTAGGGGAGATTTCTAATAGTGCTTTTTAGGTCTCAGAGTGCTTTCACATAGCTCATTGCATTTGATCCTTCTATCAGTCCCCTGAATTAGTATGGCACGGATCCTCCCCACCTTAGAGATGAGCAATTTAGGTGTAGAGATTAAAGGATTTGTCTAGAGTTGCATGCTAAGGAAGTAACCAAATCAGCATCAGGACACAGAGCTTCTTGGAATCGCCTGTTGATTCCGATTTAGTTAGGTCCATGGTGTGACCAGATAGATACTCTGTAGTCTTAACAAACTTCCAGGTGACTCTTATATATTGCTGGTTTCTGCCAGACCAGTGGTTCTCAACTTCGACTGCACATTAGAATCACCTGGAAACCTTTTTAAAATCCTGATTTCTGGACTTCATCCTCCGGAAATTCTGTTTCTTTGTTATGGGGTGGGGCCACAACATTAGTAACAAAGAAACAGAATTTCTGGAGGATGAGGTCCAGAATCAGGATTTTAAAAAGATTCCCAGGTGATTCTAATGTGCAGCCAAGGTTGAGAACCACTGTGCTAGAACATACATTGAGTAGCAAGGTTATAGACTGAATTGCCTTACATAAATAAAACTTAATTAAAAATGTATGAGCAATTTATGTCTCAAAAACCATCTTACAAAGGTGTTACTTAAGTAACTGTTAAACACATGATGGCATTAGATATGTCTCTATGGTTATGAAGCTATGCTGCTCAGACTCTTTCAGCCAAATCTGCCATTTCTTTGACCAAGGAAACTCCAGTCCTATGCCCTTCATTGAGTCCTCTCTTTTCCATTTCACATTTTTATTCACATCTATCCATCTATCCCCCATGTTTCAATAGCTCATCCTGTCCCTTCTGCTTATGTGGATCCATCTAATTCTTCAAAATTCGAAATACATTTTACCAAGAATTTCCCTCCGTTGCATCAAACCATCTCTATCCATATCTCAAGGCCTCAATTAATGAACATATGAAAATACTATATCTATTAACTTTTTTGTAGTCTATAATATATTCTGCATAACCACACATTTGTATAGAGTAACATTTACTATAAGGAAATAATAGATTTAAACTGTAGTACTCTTGCGGATAAACTTTGCCAGGTAGAGAAATACAGTGGGGCCTTGACTTACGAGTATCCCGACTAACGAGTTTTTTGAGATACCAGCTGTCTCTTTGCCGATTTTTTGCATTGAGTTGACAGAGTAATTTGAGTTAACGAGCTCCTTAATGAGCTCCTTAACAAGCTCGGTCTCGGAACGAATTAAACTCGTAAGTCAAGGCCCCACTGTATGTCAAACTTATATCTTGATTTGGTAGAATGAGTGAGGAATACTATGTTACAGATAACAATGTGAGGTAATGGTTTTCAGCTGGCTTCTGGAATCACACAGACTTGAGTTGACTCCCAGAAATTCTATCTATGTGATCCTTGCAATTAAACCTCTTCTATTTAATGGGAATAAATTTTAGTAATTATCTTTTAAGAATGTATGTTTGATAAATGTTACAGCAGCATTTTCTGTTTTTATATAGAATAATTGATGTATGCCTGCTATTGTCAAAATATAGCATGGTGAATCTCACTTTAGCATCAATTTCATGAAAGTGCACATAAGGATAGGTGCTGAGTGAATAGATTAATGATTAATTGACAAGTGTATACACTTGAAGGTTACAATATATGATCCTGAAGTATTGGCTTTCTAAAGCTACAAGATTTGTTTTCTAATTTAAAAAGTTAAGATTATTATATACTAATGGCCCGGTGGATGAAATTTGTGCATGGGGGGTGCACCCTCTCCAATTGGGAACATCCCTCTCGAAATCTGGGACAGCTGGCTCCTAACCGCTCACCTGCCTGCCTGCCTGATCACCCCTAACTGCCTCTGCCTGCCTGCCTGATTGCCCCTAACTGCTCCCCTGCCAGCCTGATCTCGCCCCCAACTGCCCTCCTCTGCTGGCCTGATTTCCCCTAAATGCCTCTGCCTCAGCCCCCACCACCATGGCTTTGTCCAGAAGGAAGTTGGATGTCTGGAAGATGGCGGTTGACCCGGTATAAAGAGCATATTACCCTTTTGTTAGTATAGATATTTACAAAGCCTCAAATAGAATTCTTGTGCTTTAATATCTATGTACATATGTATCTATGTACATTGATATGTATATATATAAACACATATATGTTTGAACCTTCCACTGGAAGGTTCTGGTTAAAAACATTCAAAACGAAAATAATCTGTGACCTTTGTAATTATCAAGTATTTGTTTTATGTAATGTGTGAAATAGAAAACTTAGTAAGTTAGGGATATTAAACTTGATGTGTCCTTTGCTTGGATCTTCATGTGGCTCACTCTCTCAATTCCTTTAGGAATCTGTTCAGATTTTAGCTTTTCAATGGGGTCTTCCTTAATTTATCAACTTAAAATTATAAGTCCTAACTCTTTACACCTTCAGCCTTCTTTCCTGCTTTATTTTTCTTCATTGCACTTGCTATGTGAATACCATAAGAATAAGGGATTTTTTCATTGATATATTCCAGTACTAGAACTAGTCTGGCACATAATAGGCACTGAATATATATATGAAAAAATGAAATTAAAAACAAAATCAGCCTAATTTGATATAATAAAATTACTGGCATTCATCTTATATTGAACATTTAGGAAATGGTTTATATTGTCCATAGAATATTTTATATTTCAATCCAGTGATAATCCAATAATAAATTTCAAAGGTTGTTTAAGTATTTTAGAAAATATTGGTTTGAAAGTTTATTTTATGGAAAGTAAACTTGTAGTAAATACATCAAGGAACTAATATATGTGAGAAGGTCTTGACATGGATTATCAGCTTCTCAACAGTGTTCTCCTGGCTATAAATATGTCTCACTTTCCACAAATGCAAAAAGCCTGAGATTTTAAGAAGTCTAGGCTACTCCTCATCAGTTGTGTGGCCTTGGGTAAATTATTTAACTTCTCTTCTGCATTTTTCTCTTTAAAAAATGGTAACAACAGTGAGTTCATTATGATTATTAAACAAAACCTAAGAAATTCTTTGAGAACAGGGACTTTGTTTTGTTCATTACTATATTCTCAGTGAGTATCATATAGTACACTCAATAAAATAAATATTTGTTGGAAGAATGAATGAAGTATGCAAAGCATCTTGACTAGTGCCTGGCACAATGTAGGCACGCAACGATAATAGCTATTATAATAATTACTAGTAAGTTAGCTGTATTTCTTTATTTATACAAAAACACTTAGGTTTAAGCACATGTAGTAGGTTCTAGCTGACTTCAACTTTGTTCCATATTGAGTAGAATTGAAGATACTTGATAGGGCTTACAGAATATTCTTAGCACTAGAATTAGTGTTTTCTTTGGCTTCTCTCTCTTTTTTTTAAATTGAAATTCTTTATTGTTTAAAGTATTACATTAGTCTCCTGCCCCCCCCCCCCCCATTGACCTATATCTGGCTGCCCCCACCCTTTGGCTTTTCTCTTGATGAAAAGAAGCATTTCAACACTGAAACTATA